GACTTGCATGCCACCCAGTTAGTGCTAGGCATTACTCTGGGCAGTAGACATAAAAAATAAATACCACATAAGATAATACAAGAAGAAACCACTACTCCCACAGAATGAAATCTGGTGAATCAAAAATTAATCCAAACCACCCCTCATAATTCTATATAGTAAGTAATTTTGACACTTGAGGCAGAAAATCATGTAAGCACTTCTTCTCATGTCTAGCAGCAAAACAAAACAAAACAAAAAATTAGAAAAAGCCCAAAAATTGCAAATAAAATACCTAACAATTGGCTGTCTTTTCACAACATCCAACATTTGCTGCCTGAGGTGAACAAATCATTTTGTGTCATGGCAATATAAGCCCTGAACAGGTGCAGAGGCTATCTGTTCATATCCCACCTCACTATGAAAAGACTGTAATAATAATTTCTGATTTTGTACCTGTACCTGTATATTTGCATACATACATTTCATACAATAAAATTTGGTGGTACGTTTTCTTTTTGGGCAGGACAATACAAAAGTGGCTGCGCTAATCTGTTGTTTCTAAAGTCAAAGCTTAGTTTAGTTAGTTAGTTAGGCATCCTTCAGTCTCGAAAGACTATGGTAATGTGCTGTGTATGGAGGACTTGGAACAGTGTCTAGTGTGGCTGAGAAGGCCAATTTGAGAGTGACAATCCCTTCCACATTGAAGACAAATACAATCTGTCCCCTGTCCAGCTCCCTGGCTTTGCTGCTTTTGTAATTTCCTCTTTGCCTCGGCCTGCTGGACAAGGGTCTCTTCAAATTGGGAGAGGCCGTGGTGTAACGCCTGCCTCCAGGCTGAACGCTCAGATGTCAGAGTTTCCCATCTGTTGAGGTCTATTCCTAAGGCCTTCAGATCTTGCTTGCAGATATCCTTGTATCGCAGCCGTGATCTGAGGCAGCCCATCGGCCAGAAACCACTGGCTAGTCACTGGCAGGCAGGTTAATAAAGCATTAAACCAAGTGATGTAATTTCATCTAATTAGACCTTTCACAAATCTCAGTACAGGGTTTGTGGTTTTACAACAAGCAGAGTGTTGGTGTTCCAAGCTTGCCACCTGTCTTTTAAACACCATCTCAGTTTGAGAAGCCCCGTAAACCTGTGTGACCCTCTCTGCCCATAAATGACTATGTGGTGTGAGAAAAAGATTACTTTGCACATAGTTGGAGGTGTGGGGTCTCTTTTGCTTCTTCTTCTTCTCTCTAATTAAATTTCCCAGGGCACAGAACTGGCAGTGGAAGCAAATTTTTATTATAAGCAGCTCGAGAGTCGAGCAGGGAGCACTTCAGAGAAAATGCAAGGGTTATTTCCCTCCATGCCTTCTCAGTCCACATATTTCCCCCCCAGATTGTGGTCCAAATTAGCCCACAGGTTACAAGTGGTGCCCCGCTTAACGATTACCTTGTTAAACGACAAATCCACTTGACGATGAGGTTTTTGTGATCGATTTTGCGATCGCAAAACAATGTTTTAATGGGAAAAATTCGCTTAACGATGATCGGTTCCCTGCTTCGGGAACCAATTTTTCGCTTAATAATGGTTTTGAAACAGCGGATCGGCAGCTCTCAAAATGGCCGCCCGCTGTGCAAAATGGCTCCCCACTGTTTTAAGATGGATTTTTTGCTGTACAGGCACCGGAAAATGGCCGAAAATGGAGGATCTTCGCTGGACAATTAGGTATTTAGCCCATTGGAACGCATTGAACCGGTTTTCAATGCGTTTCAATAGGTTTTTTTCCCCTGCTTGATGACGATTTCACTGTACATCGATTTCGCTGGAACAGATTAACGTTGTCAAGCGAGGCACCACTATTTTATTCTTTAAACCAGAGTTTGGAGATAATTCTTAAAACTGCTAGAATCCTCAAGAAGTTGCTCAATAAAGGAATATCCCTTTCATCAAGACACTTTCTCCCTCTGACGGATGAATCACACCTCCATTTCAGGAGAGAACCCAGTCACCTGAGCACCCTGGTACTCACTGAAAGAATGTCTTCACTCAGGAACCCTTTGAGGCTGCCGCTTCCATAGTGGATAGCAAATTTAGACTTGTTAGACTTGTAGGTGCGGGAAAACAGGGACCGATAGTGGCTGTGTACCCCTAAGTAGAGAAAAAGAGGGACAGTTGTTTAAACTGCAGTGTCTCCAAATTCTAGCAGGAATTTCTTTCTTTATCCTTCTTTTCTTTCTTTAAAACATTTTTACCCCCCTTTTCTCCTTAAAAAGGACCCAAGGTGTCTTTTACATCATTAAAATACGGTATTTAATGCTAAACAACGGTGGGTATACCAATACGAAAAAGATTAAACAAATAGCATACTAAAAAACATAAGCAACGCCAAAACACATTCAAAGTAGTAAAGTATAATGATCCATTTATGAACATAAGCAACATTCAAGCATTTAAGAACATAGCAAAGTCCATTCCACCCCCACACTATTACCTCAACGGTAGTTCCCTTATAAATGATATCTTGTCACCACTCATACATAAACAGGGACATATAGAAGGTGCTCACTAGAGATGTATGAGACACACAGAACGTGATTCCACTGTGTGACACATAGAAAAATTGTTGGGGGCCATTTTAGTGGATGTGCCATGAGCACCTAACTTCCTCATCACCACCTCAGAAATGGCTGCTTAGTCCCAGGCAGGGTTTAAACATTATTTGTTAAATTGTTTTGTGACAAACAGTGGAGCTCTGTTCTGCAGATCTCTTTCCTTCCTCGTTAACATCTCTCTTTCATCTCCTTGAAGGACGCATCCATTGGTACCCTTCCTCATGATGTGTGGGATTATGCTGTTTCCTTCAAAGAGGAACATTAGGGTGCAATCCTGCACACCAGTCCTGGGCCAGCTCTCTCATCACTAGAGCATGCCGTTTCTCATAAAAACTGGCTGCAGAGCCACAAATTGGGAGTCTGATTCCTCACTGTGCCTCCAGCTTTGCGGTTCTAAGATGACGACGACGACGACGATAATTAAGCCATAGGAGTAGCTAATTTCTAGGCCACTTTCACCCCAACCCATGCCCATTCACTGAGAATTAATTGAGAAATACAGTTCTTACAGCAAGCTAAATGTAGCAGACAGCATTTTGAGGAAGGCACCCACAGGTTGGAAGAGCCAGTATCGAAGACAACACTGAAGCACTGTTTTGGGGTTCCAATACAGATATCTCCATAGTATTGTGCCTGGAATGGGATGTGGGAAAGAGGAATCAAAATTAGTAACCCAATTCTCAGCGGTAGCAAGGTTTTGAAACCCAGCCACTGGTCACATGAGGGAAATGGTCTCTAGTTATGCACCAGTTAGTTAGTTGCTTCCCCCCCCTCAAGTCATACAATGCACAGTCAACACCAAAACATTTCTCCTGCCAGCGGTGTACCATTTCCCCCTCACTCTGAGGGGTGTGTGTGTGTGTGTGTGTGTGTGTGTGTGTGTGTGTGTGTGTGTGTTGTGTGTGTGTGTGTGCGTTTACATTACCAGTGGGTAATAATTTTTTTAAATTTCTGTGGCAGATACATCGAACTATTGGTATGCTAATCTCACTGGGGGAGGAGTGATCGCCAGTATTGCTGCATGGTGGATTTTTTCCCCCTGCCCAAACATAGCTGCCTCTTGGTATGTATGTCTAGGAAGCAGCTGGCACCCTCTCGGCCAAGGACGTGCCCTTTTTTTTCATGGCTGCTGTCGTACCAGCACAGCCATAGACGGTGGTTCTGTGTCCATTGTGAGCAGTGTGTTTCCTCAGGAGCACCCAGCGCAACAGAGGACACTTTCCCAAACAGAAACCTCTGCCCAATATATCGATGTGCCAATAAATGTTTATATATACTGTATTTATATCTCAAGGGGCTGAATTTCCCATTGAAGCAAGACAGGAAATAGGAAAAAATACATTGGTAATGCTAAAGGTTCTTGGGACATTTGCCCCGGTATATATACCATGTGACTGCGATTCAGTACAACAAGGGTATGGAAAGTATTGGAAGAACTAGAGAACATTCTCCTCATGTGAGCAGGGCGTTACTGTATAGAAAATCATGCTGAACAACCAAATAAGGACTGCACATTTTGGTGGGCTGTGGAATACTTCCAGCCTGTGGTAGAAGAGAATGGAATGGGAGGTCTTAAAGGAGAGTATGGCTGGCATGGTGAGCAAGGTCCACTCCACACTGCAACATTTTGTTGTGACACTGTAAGACCTTTGTTAGCTTAGCCCAAAGTGCTATCGTGTCCAACTCTTCTCTCTAGTTATGCATAAGTGGAATATGATGAAGCTGGTTGTTATTTCCCTGCGGCATATCTGACAGTCAAAGATATACTACCAATGATCATAGAGATTTGATTTAATTGACTATTGTGGCTAATGGCTCTTTCAGAGTCTTCCCTGGCCCTGAACGCTTTTCTCCATTTTATAATCCCACATAGCATATGATTCACAGAGGTACCCCCCTCTCATTGCCCTGCAGATGTGTTAGACTTTGATTGATGATGGTAATATGGGAACTGTAAACCCACACCTCTGGAGGACACCAAGTTGGAGAAGGCTGATCTAGACTTGAGCTAAGAAACTTGTGGCCCTCTCTAGTCACTGTTGGACTCCATACCCCATTAGTCCCAGTCAGATTGGACAGTTGTGATGGACCATGGGAGTCAAAGTTCCTCAACATCTGGAGGGCCACAGCTTCCCCATCCTGACCTAGAACAGTGATGCCCAACCTTGGGCCCCCAGATGTTCTTGGACTGCAATTCCCAGAAATCCTGGCCAACACAGCTAGTGGTGGAGACTAAAGCAAGAACATCTGGGGACCCAAATTTGGGAACCACTGACCTAGAAAATCTAGCTGCCAAGCTATCAGCAATAGCTCACAAGCCTGTTTCCCCGCCCACACACATGAATCATCAGACTTAGCTTATGCCCACTCTCTTGAAGGAGACACTTACATCCATATAGTTGTGGAGCCGTTGCTTGGTGACTAATGTTGTAGTTGGGGGTTTCCCAGCTCTCAGACCTCCTCGACGCAACATCTCAGCAATGGGAATGCCTGACCGCCCAAACCGGTTTCGCACAGATGGGTACTTTTGCAACGGGATCCTGTTGTGGAGAGACAAGTTGGTGCAGGCTTGAAAAAGACAGCAATAGAAGGTCACCTTCCCTAATCATTGACCAAGGTGCATGACAATTTACTAGGAGGACAACTCACTGCGGATGGAATGAGGTTTACCTTCTGAAATTGAACCAGAGCTTGGATAAGTGGTGTATGTATGTATGTATGTATGTATGTATGTATGTATGTATGTATGTATGTATGTATGTATGTATGTATGTATGTATGTATGTATGTATGTATGTATGTATGTATGTATGTATGTATGTTTGTTTGTTTGTTTGTTTGTTTGTTTGTTTGTTTGTTTGTTTGTTTGTTTGTTTGTTTGTTTGTTTGTTTGTTTGTTTGTTTGTGGGGGAAGGATTGAATCTCCCAGAATTCTCCAGCCTACATGGCCACTTGCTTATTGCAATTAACAACATGCCATTAAAGAGAGAAGATTTTGAGAGCTGTAAAAGCAGGATTACTAAGCTCTAAAATCAACACAGATGGGGGGAATGCATGACTATATTTATTAATACAGTACTGTATGTTAAACTTATGCCCTACTTTTTCTCCAAAGTGTACATTTCCTTCAATGTAGGGTGCGTGGTCCTTTTCCTCACTGTCATTCTTATGGCAAACCGTTGAGGTAGGTCAGGCTGAAATAAAGTTTCGGCATTTCCCCAGGAAGATCCGTGGATTTATGAGGATTTGAACTCAGATCTCACCAGCCTTAGTGCAATACTCTTAGCAGTAACAGAGGCTGCACCATACCTGTTCTTAATATAAAACTGTATCAGTTACACATGCATAGGCATGATGTCTATGAGGTCTGTGGGTGTTAAAGGATTACCCAGTGCTCAATTTATTAGGTGGGGCAGTACAAGCCAGCTCCTTAAGTTTTGTGTCCACCCCATTTTGTTGTTGTTGTTGTTGTTGTTGTTGTTGTTGTTGTTGTTGTTGTTGTTGTTGTTGTTGTTGTTGTTGTTGTTGTTGTTGTTGTTGTTTTGGACAGCTGCAAGAAGTTTGATTTAGGTAAAATTTGAAGGTAATGAGTGAAGTAGACGAGTAGACGTTGTCTAGAGGGGCGGGGTAAAAATCGAATAAATAAATAAGTGGCAAGAATATGTGGATTATGTCATTTTTTAATTAAAGTTGGCATGTTTCCCAAGCAAACATAGGCTGATCTTTTCTGGGTGAGGTTTTACTAGATCCTTTGAAGATGAACTTGTGTGCGAGCATTTGTCACTTACACTAGTGTAGGATTTGGGTTTCACTTTGTTCAGAAGTCCCTTTGTATTTTTAATCAGTCTTTCCAACATCACACCCCTCCACACAAGACGAGTTAACCAAAGAAGAAGACCAGAGTTTAGCAACTTTCCTTCTCTGGACTCCACCTCCCAGAACTTCCTCACCAGAAGTTCATGGTGGCTGGAGGAAATAATGGGACTGTATCTGCAAAATGTGACATTCCAAGCTCCAAAGGGGGAAAAATACAACATTCATTAAGAAGGACTCTATAATTATCACACTGATACCTGGCTACAGTTCCGATGTAGGCAGCAGGGCTGGGCAGCAGAGATAATTGCAGATCTACAACATAGCTCTGCTCTGCAGAGCATTTACATGGAGTGGCATGGCTATGTCAGTCACTCAAGGTTGAAACTGGAGCTGGCACCGCTTAGACGAAACGCCAGGTCTCTTTCACAACAATATGGGAGGAATCAAAACCATGAATCTGGTTTTGCATAGGACTTATCTGACTGAGTGGAAAATTCACCTGACCAGGTGGCTAGTGAGTGGTTTCTGACATGGAAACCCTGGAAGGACTTGGTTATCACTTCTTTCTTTCGAATGCAGGATTGGTGCCAAGTTGCTTCCTGCCCTCTGTTAACGTGTGTTGCTGGCAGAGGGCTAACACTACAAGCTTGATGTCACACTGCACTCCTAGAACTCTCAAGAACTCGTTTTTGTTCTAATGTTCTAGGACTGCAGTAGCCACCAGCCTTAAAAACCATAGCCAATGGTGAGGGATAATGGGAGTGGTAGTCCAAGAATATCTGGAAGACCACGGAAGTTACCCACTACTGCTGCAGAGCAAGAGTAGACAATTTCTATCCTGACAGCCAGATGTGCACCCCATAATTTCAGGTAGCCATAGGACATTTCCAGATGTAAACCCCACCCCACCCTTAATTTATAATATGAATAATTGGCTAACTGCAGAGCTGGTAGGGGCCATATCGATAACTGAGTACAGCACTTGTCAAGGAGGCTCAGTGGGGAATCGAGCTCCCAGCCTCTGGCTCTGTAATCAGATACCTAAACCACTGAGCTATCCAGCAGTTCACTTATCTCTAAGGAGCTCCTCTTCCATGAGGAATGCCCCTGCAGTTGAGTTGAGTGCTACTAGTGCTGCTGGAAGGGGCTCTGTGCACATGCCCATATTATCACCTGTCTTTCCGCTTTCCTTCTTCTTTGAGTTATTCTTCAATGGAAGGCATATCTGTGTTGGGTGCATTGACCAACATATGTTGCACTTATTTGGATCCGATTAGTCACAGCACCCAACTCTGAACAACTAGAATTCAATTAGGATGGCATCACTGCCTTTATCTTGCTACAATATTCCATTTATTTATGGTATTTTATCATACAGATATTAATCCATTATGTAATTAAGTAAGTCAAAGTGTCAATTCAATTGATTAATTCACTTAATTTAACTACATGGAGGCCTCCAATTGATTTTTTCCTGTGAGTCAATGGCTCATCATAGCAGGGAAAAACCCAGTCTTCTACCTGGTCTCCCAGTTCACATTCTAGTATTGCAGTCACCCAACAAACACCACTCCCTCCCAAAGAATCTAGCATCATTACGAAAGATTTTGACCACTCTTGACTCATCCCCTGTAACTGTCCAGCAGATTGATCTGCAGCACTTAGCACTGGACCCAATTAAGATGCATCCTATGAAGAAGGGATATGCAGGGGGAGAAAATTAAACAAATTGGTCCGCTTTGGAAAGAATCTATTGGTGCTTTCACATAGACACACAAAATACAGTATGTTTCATTGATGAATGGTTATATTGTATTCTGCCTGGTCCTATGAAGCACATCAGTTGTTGATTTCTGCACATCCACCAGAGTTAAAACTGGGACAGAAGCAAAACAGGGCATCAATTTTCTTGCCAGCTGGAAACCTTAAAATGCAACTTAATCCCATGTGGCTCTCCCAGAGAAGTTAGGAGCCCTGGAACAAAATTGTCTCAGATCTGCTCTGCTCCTTGACAGAACTCAGATATTTAGGGTATAAAGAACAGAAGACCCATTTTTGTCCTGAAATTGTCCTGCTGTTTGGTCTGGGCTGGAGACAGACTGGTTCACTCCTTTTTCCAATGACCACATGACATATGTGTCATCACAAATCAGCCAGCCCCTTGACCAATGTCTACTTACATTTGGGGGGGGGGGACTAGTGTCATAAGGTACTGCTTTGATTCAGCTCCAGCATGTGTGATTGCTGAGATCAAACCAAAGCAGATGCTTGGCTGTCCATTCGCTGAAATTGCTTAACGATCTTGAGAAATGGAAAGCTTCTTTGCCACTAGTCTGTGGAGGGGAAGGGGAAGAGAGTTTTCCATTTTTTTTTTAAAAAAAATTGTTGCTAATGCAGTAAGACTTTTCCAAGCATTGCTCATGTGCTGTGTCAGTTAGCAACAATTAAAAAGAAACAGAAAGCTTCCTCTCCCTTCCCTTCCTCAGGAAGCAGAAAGGAAGCTTCCCGTTTCTGTTTAGTGGGTTAGTCAAAGCATGAAGGAGGACACAGGAGGGAGATTTTTGTTCTCGGTCCACATACTGCTGAAGCCTACCTTGTAGGATTTTGAGCATAACCTTGCTAGCGTGTCAAATGAGTGCAATTGTACGGTAGTTGGAGCATCCTTTGGCACTGCCCTTCTTTAGGATTGGGATGAAGACTGATTTTTTCCAATCCTCTGGCCACTGCCGAGTTTTCCAAACTTGCTGGCATATTGAGTGTAGCACCTTAACAGCGTCATCTTTTAAGATTTTAATTAGTTCAACTGGAATGCCATCACCTCCACTGGCCTTGTTGTTAGCCATGTTTTCTAAGGCCCACTTGATTTCACTCTCCAGGATGTCTGGCTCAAGGTCAGCAACCACACTATCTGGGTTGTCCGGGACATCCAGATCTTTCTGGTATAATTCCTCTGTGTATTCTTGCCACCTCTTCTTGATGTCTTCTGCTTCCGTGAGGTACCTTGCCCACAATAGTCGATATGATAATCATCTGAATTGAATTCTCCCATTCCCATCCATTTTAGTTCACATGCCCAGGATGTCAATATTTATTCTTGCCATCTCCTGTTTGACCACATCCAGCTTACCAAGGTTCATAGATCTTACATTCCAGCTTCCTATGCAGTATTTTTCTTTGCAGCATTGGACTTTCCTTTCACTTCCAGGCGCGTCCGCAGCTGAGCGTCCTTTCGGCTTCGGCCCAACCACTTCATTAGCTCTGGAGCTTCTTGTACTTGTCCTCTGCTCTTCCTCAGTAGCATGCTGGATGCCTTCCGACTTGAGGGGATCATCTTCCAGCATCATATCTTTTAGCGTTTTGTTTCTGTCCATGGAGTTTTCTAGGCAAAGATACTGGAGTGGCTTGCCAGTTCCTGCTCCAGGTGGATCGCGTTTAGTCAGAACTCACCACTAGGACCTGTCCATCTTAGGGTGTCTCTGCACGGCATAGCCCATAGCTTCTCTGAATTACTCAAGCCCCTTCACCACAACAAAGCAGCAATCCGTGAAGGGGCCAAATGACATAAATAACCTCAAAGCAACCCTGTTTAGCACAATCTCTAGAGTGATCAAGGCCAGGATAATTGGACCTTCTAGTTGCACCTTCAATGTGGAACAAATACAGGTGTTGTGGGCTGAGAGACCCAGGCCTTGCTCTCCATTCCTCTCTCCTATCCCCGAGTACTGTATTACCGATCTTATGTGACCCAAGCTCAACCAATAGGGCACTGAGGTCCCGGGCACCTAAATTTCTAGTTATAGTGTTGCTCCCAGTAAACAGAATCCATCATTTTAGTGGAGAAGTTGCAGCGGTGGGATTCGAGACTTCACTGACCAATGCAAAAGGCAAGATGGCGTTTGCAGATAAACACACACTAGATCTCCTGTACAAAAGAGCTGACTATACTAGCAGGCAAAATGGCCTTTGGTGACTGAATGGTATCATCTGCAACCCCTCGGAGGAGCAGGCTAGCTTACAGAATGCTAACCCACAGCATCTGCTACCTGACTTAGCTGCTTGGCTTGCCTCCATGGTAGGACTAACCCTGAAGATTTCCATTTAAAAAAAATACAGTATGTTGCCATGTGGGTCTTCGCTATCACCTACCCTCCATAGATGCAGCCTGAACTCACCCTGTCTCTCCCTTTGGGTATTGTCTCTATTCTCACATTATCACCACCTCTTTCTCAGAAAGTATGAAATGTCCCATACCTACTCTAATCAAATTCTTTTTTAATAATAAGAAATTATTATTCTTATTAAGTCAATTCTGGCTTATAGCCACCGTTTGCAAAGTTTCCTAGGTACTGAGCACGAAGCAGTGTTTTATAATTCCTTTCTTCAGGCAGGGGTGCTCTGAGACGGTGTAGCTTGCCCAAGGCTACAAAGGCTGGTTCTTCTCCTAAAAGGCTCAGTGGGGAATCAAATTTCTAAACCTTCCCTCCACAATCAGCTGCTCCAGATCCCAGATTTTGACTGACTGAAACGTTCTCTGGGCATCTCAAAGAGTGACCTATTTTCTCAACACAGTTTTGTGTTTTTAGACACACTGCTTAGCAAGTACAAATCTGAGCAGGCAGAAGCTTTGCCAACCATTAAACCCGGGCACTGCAGGAAGCTTAATCTGTTGAATTTTTACCTATTATACAGCAGTAAAATCTACAGTACCTCCAAAAGAGGGGGGGGAGTTGACAACCTGACTGTCAACACATCTTTGTTTACACATACCACTCATCCTCCTAAACTTTCTCCAGCAAATAAAATAATCTGCAATGCTTCCATTCTAAATTTCTTCCTTCTGTGACAATCACACCTTTCTCTCCTCCATTGTTCCCTTTGTTTTAACCTACAAAGCTAGCCTGTCCAAACTCTTTACTCTCCCATCACCCTCAATAGGGATGATGGGGGTTGTAATCAACATCTGGAGGACATTAGGTTCGTGGAAAATGTACTAGTCGGGTGATCCCTTCCTTCCCACAGATTCTAGTATCATATCTTTTCCCACAATCTAAGACATGTTCAATCATCTCACTTTCCATCTTCTCTTGTCTACTTAATTGGCCAACCTCTTTCAGGAAACACTCTGTGTGGCATAGTATCATATGCCTGAAATTAACTTGTCCTTCTCCCACTCCAGGTCTACAATGGATCACTCAGTGTGCAGAAGCTGCTAGACTCTCACAGAATTCCAACACCATATAAGAAACCAGGGTTTAGGAAAGTTACTTCTTTGGTACTCTCAGAATTCTCTAGCTAGCATAGCTAAAGGCACACTGGCTGGAGGACTTTGTATGGTTACTTTTCCGAGCTCTGGAGGAGACCTTGTGACTAAACACTCCTTTAGCTTCAGCAGGGAATGTAATAAACAATTTGCATTGTCTCACCGGATCAGTCCTTGAACCCCAATTGCCAGCAGCAACACGATGACCCAGATGCGGCTTCCCATCTTTGTTCTGTCCTTTGGCAACCTCCAGCTCTGTCTCCTTCCGTCTGTACTGGCTGCACCCAAATTGCTTGTTTTGGGGGTGGACAAGATGTATATCTAGACTGGTTGGGTAGCAGTAAAGTGTCACGCCCATTCACCCCTGGAATGTGGGTTGTAGATCTGGATTGGTTAGAGCTACTGAAGCTCACCACCCCGTTCCCTGCAATTATTGGGGTTCCTGTTCTGATTGGCTAAAAACATGTAAGGAAAAGGTTCAACCTTTTTGAGGGCCATAGTCATTCTATTCACATGAGAAATGATGGATTTCCAGGCCTTAGGACCTGACAGACTCTGTGTGGGAGTTTGTACCGACCTGAGTGATCTAGAACAACAGTTCCCGGACTCTTCAGTATCGTATCCCATTTTAGAGTTTGTGACACCCTCACATCTTCTATACAATCATCCATCATTTACCATCATCCACTTTTAATTAAAAATTAAAAATAAGTACAAAACCTTAGTTAAAAAAAAAGGAATTTTAAATTAATTCCTGTAGCTTTCCTTGTGGTAACTGATATTTTAAAATGTGGTCAAAATGATTTAAAATGTTTTTAATTGTGAAAAATAATCCTCTCATTAGGAACCCATTATAAAAGATTCACACACACCTTGGTGGGAATTTCTTCACGTCTTCCCAGGGCATCTGCTCCTCTTCCAGTGTGGGAACTAATGCTCACTAGAAGATAACATTGATGGTCAGCTGAGGTTCAAGGAGAACAACTTTGCATGGACCACACTATTCTGTGGTTGAGGAATAAAACTGCTCAGCCCAAAATTGTCAAATCTGTCTGGATAGCTCAATGAGATCGAGCGCATGGCTGCGTAGCCAGAGGTTGGCAGTTTGATTTCCCCACTGTGCCTCCCACAAAAACAGCTAGCTTAGGTGGCCTTGGGTAAGCTATATGGTCTCAGAGTGACTCCTGAAGAAGGAAAAGGTAAACAACTTCTTGAATAGTGGCTGTTGTGGGTTTTTTGGGCTTTTTGGCCATGTTCTGAAGGTTGTTCTTCCTAACGTTTTGCCAGTCTCTGTGGCCGGCATCTTCAGAGGACAGCACTCTGTGCTCCAGCCAGATCCCGGCCATGAAAGCCTTCGAGAATAAACTTCTTGAGTACTCTAGAGTCTATACTTAGAAAACCCTGGAAGGGGTTGCTGCAAGTCAGATTTGACTTGATGGCAACTTGATATTAAAGTTGCCAAATGGGTAGGATAATATTGGGTGTGGTAGCATCTGCCCAAAAGTCATTAACTCTTCAGCCCAATATTTTATATGAGTCAGTAAAGTGGATCTCCAAAATTCCTCCCCCCCTTTTTTTTAAAAAAATCCTTTCCTTCTCATTATATCACAACTAAGAAAGAAAGGGGACCACATGTTTGAAGAGGGTGGGATGGGCAAGCATCCAGCCTCATTCTAAGTATGCTCTTTGAAAGATCATAATCAATAATGATTATGCTGTTGGTAAAATCACTATTGATTAGCTTTGGACAAAAGGGCCATCATTCATCCCTACCTTCTAACAGGACTCTGCTGTGACAGCTGCTAGACAGACCAGAAAGTAGAACACACCAGGACTGACTCAGAATTGCCAGCTTTTTCAATGGCTGAATTGATAGCCTTAAAAAAAACTGCGCTGTCCACTATAGACAGGGAACTTGTTTTTTCAGCCAATGTCTCAGAAATCTCTCCTTGATGCCTTATTTTCTCCAGCAAAGGCTGAAGGCCTGTGACCCCAGAGCCCAGAATTAGGTGAATTGCCATGCCAGAGTGAGGCAGCCTGCCTTATTTGACAGACCTTGGGGTGCTAGGTGCTATTAAAGGAGAGCACAAAATAAGTGAGTTCTTATTTTGTTTTATCATGATACGAGTGGGATGCTATTTGGATTTTCTGCCTCATGCACCAAGTGATCCATAGTAGCTCTGCCTGGAGAAGTGCCTCTTGAGGGGTGACTATAAGGCCATTTAGTCAACTGTTTGGTCTGATGCAGGGACCAACTGGTTTGCTTTTAAAGAAGGTGATAAGACGGCACCTTTCCTGGTTGGAACTGGCCCATCCTCACAGCATTCCTATTCCTCACAGCATTCCTTTCTGGCCCATCAGAGGCTTCTACTTTTTTGGTCCAGTTAGGATTACTCTGTTTTGGTTCATTTCCAGTAAGTATGACTTCTGGAAATGAACCAAAAGCGAGTCTTCCTGTTTGAATTGACAATATCATGAAGTGGTCTAAGAAGAGAACCATTTCAGGATGTTGACTGTGCTCCATTAAAAAAAGTGTATTAGGGCAATGCATATGCACTGCATGACTTTAAAAAAAAAGGCAAATGGAAAACTTCCTCCTGAAAGTTGGAGGTGATGGGAGTGGGCAATGGGGGGTGGGGTATATTTGCTTTTCTTCACTGAGTCTCAATCTGGATATTTAATAGAAAATCAATCAATCAATCAATCAATCAATCAATCAATCAATCAATCAATCAATCAATCAATCAATCAATCAATCAATCAATCCCCTTGTTGCCCACTATTGTCTCCTTCAGCTTCTGGGAGAAAGTTTTCCCTTTGGGTTTTTTTAAAGTGATGCAGTGCATATGTGCTCCCCAATTACGCTTAAAACATTTTTTCAATTCCTTGGCCCCCTCACAGAGCTGAAGATATTTTTAGTTTCCCAATACTGAAGTAGCTCTCTTCTTAAGTCACTTCATCCTATTGGCAAATGAACAGCAAGCTAGTATAGAGTTAGACCAAATACGGTCACTTGAGGTCTGTTTGTTATTTGAATGTGAGGATCACACCATGGTGGCATACCAGACATCCTAGTGACCCTATTTAGTCCAGCCTGCTTCAAAACAGGTGTGTAAGCAAGCCCTCAGTTTACCACGTGTGTAAAATGGATAGAACTGTCCTCTCTCTGTCTCTGATGCCTACACCTATATGCCCCCACCCACCCACCCACATGTTACAATGAAAATTTTTACCCTCTCAGGCCCTGATTCTACATCAGTGTACTATTGTTTGAGACTCAGAATCTATTTCAGTCTCTGATTATGGGAATAAGGACAGCAAAAAGTCTTCTGACACATAAAGGGTAATGTCTCTAAAACATGGTACAGAAATCCATAAATGATTTATATTTCTTTACTAGAGTAATGACAGACTGATATCATGAATATGTCTACCTCTGAGGCAAACATTTCCTCTTACACCAAATTAAGCCTCGTTTATGCCCTATGAGGCTTGGTGATAACAGCAGATGAATAATGTTAAAAATTTGAAAAGCTTGCCTTTCAACTTTAAGAGGGAGCATTTCCTTCACTTAATTCAGGAATGGTTTTTATAACTGGATTCTTCTGCTGCTCTGAAAGTGTTCACACATCCTCATAAAAATAGCAGTAAACTTTGGTGTAAAACCAGCTGCTGAGGGTGCAAATGCTTCAGGGGTTGGTTTTTCAATTTGGGTTTCTCTCATACTTTACAATGAGTAGAATTCTTCTCAGAGTATAGAACATCTGTGTTGATTCCTTGCACCAGTAACTGGCCTGGATGCTCCCTAGCTGAAAAACTCTAGCATGTTATGGTTCGTTTTGACCAAGATGCTTTCAAATCTCAGTCAGATGTTTGATCATCTGCACTTGATGTGGGCAACACAGAAATGGGATCTGAAAATCAGATAATAATAATAATTAATGTTAATTAATTAATTAATTAATTAATTAATGTTAATTAATTAGCCACCCACACTACCCAAAGGTCTCTGGGCCACTTACAACAATTTAAATGCAGTAAAAAGAAAAAACAATTAAAATACAATTAAAAATACAGTGCTCTAAAAATTGCTATCAGTACCCACAACTGATATTATTTCAGTTATCTGGAACAAGAAGGTTTTGACCTGGCACCAAAACATCATCAACGTCGGCACTAGACAAATCTGACTCGGGATGGCGTTCCATAGTCTGGGGGCAGCTGCCAAAAAGGCCCTTTGTCTATAAGCCATCCCTCTTCCCTCCTTGAGGGACAGCTCTTTCAAAAGGGCCCCCTGGCTAGATCTTAACTGCTGGGTAGGTTCATATGGAAGGAGGCGGTCAGGTACCCAAGGCCCAAACCGTTTAGCCATTTTTCCGACAACTACTACCAGAATGCCCAACTACTATACCACCCTGAACACAGAGGTAAACCTGGGTAGCACTTGATTTGGAAGCCACCAGAAAATATCGGACAATGTATTACAGAAGGGGGTCTCTTGCTTGCAAATGATGTGACAGAGCACATGCTCTGGAGGCAAGAGGCCCAGGTTTAATCATTCCCTGGTCCAGTTAGAAGAAAATCCTGCCTTGTATGTTGTAGGGTTGTTTCCTGTCCATGTCAACAGTACTGGAGAGGCCAAGAGTCTGACTCAATATAAGGCAGTGTCCTCAGCTGGCTATGAATTCTTGGTTTTGAGGTTCCCAATTTTCCCCCTCCCTCCAAGCTTTGATTCTGAATCTGCATCATTAGTGATCAGACTTTCCAGATTTGGCTTAGATGCGATTCTGCTACTTGAGCTAAAGGCTGTTTTCTTACCAATCCAAATAAGAATGGATGCATAGGGGGAAAGGGCAATAAGATGTTGCAAACAATCTGACTCACAGACTTTGACTGTATAAAACACTGTCATGTGTTCTCTAGTCAGAAAGGACTTATAATGACCTTTATAGGGCTTTCAATAAATGAAATTGTCGGCCAGAATTGCCAACGATAGAGGACAGTGGGAGTTGAAATGCAAAACCTCTGGAGGGCCAAAGATTCACCACCCCTGGACTAGGATTTGAGACAGTTGGGTTCAAATTCTGGCTTAATCATAGAAACGCATTGGGGGGGATACAGAATTGGTAAAACTACCGTTTAAACATTTCACTTATCTGGAAAGCCCCATTATTATCACCGGATCTACACATGTTAATGCTCAACCTCACAGCCATAAAGACTAGAAGCCTAACCAAGGAAAACCCCAAAACAAATGAAACACAGAAACCAGAATTTGAAAGAAAAAAAAACACAGAAACCAGATGCTATGCTTATGTGTTTATTATTTTCCAAAATCTTCAAAAGAGCTAAACATTCTAAGCCTTATTTTGAAACATATATATTTCTTTAAAAGTCATTACCATCACATTTTTCTTAGGCTTGTTTCCACACTTTGTTTGACTGGAGTCAGGAACAGTTACTTACAGAGTGGTCACTTGTTTAAGCCCCACCCACCCCACACAAAACAACAACAAAAACACAACAACTATAGAGGGGATGTGGGATCAGGAATCCTGGGAGGTAAGGAGATGAGGGCCAACTGGATAGCCTAGTGGTTTGGGTTACTGGCTATGTAGACCGAAGTTGGGGAGTTTAATTCCCCACTGTGATTCTTGTAAGTAGAGCCAGCCTGTGTAGCCTTGGGAAAGCTGTACAGTCCCAGGAGGCCCCCAAAAGAAGGGAATGGTAAACCACTTCTGAGTATTCTCTACCTGGAAAAGGTTGCCATAAGTCAGAATTGATTTGACGGCACATGATTATTATTATTAGGGAGACAAGCTAAAGGAGGTAAGGAGACAAATAAAATGTCAGTTCATTTGGTGGCTAGGGGAAAAATCCATTCCCTACAGAGTTACCAACACAGGAAATTTTAAATTGGCAAGAGCACAGAACATGTTTATCTCGCTCCATTCGTTGCAACCCATGTGTGGGTGATATTTTGATAACCATTTCATGCTCTCTAAAGAACACTTCCTCACAACACTGAGATGTCTTTCTTGTTCTGTTTTTCGGTTTCTCTCGGGAGTCTCTGTCAGGGCTTCCAGTCGGTGTTAGCAAACCTTTGGGAGCAGGGTGTTTTCAGGCCACAGCTCATAAATGAGATATTTAAAAGGCACCTTGATCAATCTGCATGGGTCTTGCAAACACGAGGAGAAGGAGTGGCAGTGTCTGCAACTGTGTGGGTGTGTGTGAGGCTGCAGGCACATGGCGTGTCACTTAGACCGGATGTGTGTGTCCGGTCAGAAATGTGTGTTTTGTGTTTTGTACTTTTGTGAAGAATCTGTTTGTCAACTAGCTTTTTGTCCATGGCTATTTCTAAGTTTCCACCTGGTCATCAGAGCTATAGTATTCTGTATTCTGCCCCCTCCCTTGTCCAAGAAAGAAAGCCAAATGTTGACCTTCCCTAGATAAATTATGCAAAGCGGGCATGTTTTGCATGACTTTTTAATATATAGTACCTAGTGCGTGGGAGGAAGAACCAATGCAGAAGCCAGACACCACATCCACCTAAAGATCCATTTCTCCCCTACCCACCAATCTACCTGTGGGCTTCTGAGACTATTTAGCACCGCCCACACATATTTTCAGGGTTAACTTTGCAGCCATATGGCCTAGAAAGTGCCTTGCCTTTTAAAAAACATATATAGCTGTGTTTCTAAGGAAGCTGAATTTTGCGCCAGTCTGTGTTTGCACAGTGTGATCTCTGAAGGATGGAACAAAAATAGTCCTAACATTGGTGTATGGATATGGGGCCCCTCTGCCCCCCCCTTTATATGTAAATCCTTCCAGCTACCCCTGTACAGGCTCCACATAGTTGGCAGGGTAGAGCCCCACACGTCCACCGTCAGTCACCCCCTTGCACCATCCTTGCTCATCTTCATCTTCCAACTTGGTAAGCAGCTCCCCTGGGATGAGGGAAAAAATGGTGAGGACATAGATTAATAAAGACACACACTTCCCACACTGGAAGAGGAGGAGAAACTCTAAACTCAAGCAGTGTCAAGACGATGGTTAATATTGGGCAAACATTACGGGCAGCAGATGATGGTTTGCTTGTTGTTGTTTTTTTATTTTGAAAGACATTTAGGCTGCCATTTTCCAAGATGGATAAAGTGGTTTTACTTATTCATTTACAGACAGTACTACAACTACAATAAAGCCATTTCAAAACAACATTACAGTGGTGCCTCGCAAGACGAGCGCTTCGTTTAACAAAGAAATCGCATAACGACGTTTTTGCAATTGCAAAAGCGATCGCAAAACGATGTTTTCTATGGGTTTTTTTCGCTTTGCGATGATCGGTTACCTGCTTCGCTAACCAATTATCTCAAAATGAAGATTTTCGCACAGCTGATCGGCGGTTTCAAAATGGCCGCCGGGTAAAAAAATGGCCGCCCGCTGTTTTCTGAGATGGATTCCTTGCTGCACGGGCAGCGAAAATGGCCACGCTATGGAGGATCTCCGCTGGATGGTGAGTTTCAAGCCCATAGGAACGCATTAATCGGTTTTTTATGCGTTTCTATGGGCTTTTAAAAATCGCTTTACGATGTTTCCGTTCTACAGCGATTTCGCTGGAACGAATTAACATCGTAATGCGAGGCACCAGTGTAATTTTTTTATATTAATTAACAACAAGCAAGCCAGGAAAGCAATATGCAACATTTGAGGCCAGCTGTCTCATGACGAGTTCTAAAACAATTAGAGACAACAATAAAACAAAACTTATCTATTCATTTTAAAATACTGTAAAAGCAGACAGAGACAAGATAGTCTCTAGAGACAGGCTACAGCAGGACTGGAGAATATTTGGCCCTCCAGATATTCCCACAATCCTTTTACTATTGACCAGGCTAGATGGAACTAATAGAAGTAGCATGGCAAACATCTGGAGGGCCAAAGAGTGCCCAATCCTGTCTAAAAGAAAAGAGGGAGAGAGCCAAATGTAGCTCTCAAAGAAGTAAGTATTGGGTCACTGGTGAAAACAAGTCACTGATGCCCACCTGTTTAAATACTCTTACCTAAGGCCAAGAGCAGGTAGCTTAACTTAATGTTCATATGGGTGTTAAGTAGTATCATAACCATAATGCTATGATTGCTGGTCAGCTATTCTTTTGTTAGGGCGGTTGCTTGGTAATGGCCACAGGATGCTTGGTTTTCCTAATTGCATTCAGAAAAGCCTATTCTGTATTGGACCTTGTAAATGAGTATCGTTTTGCTATCATATACAGTGGTGCCTCGCAAGACAAGTGCTTCGTTTAACAATGAAATCGCATAACGAAGAAGTTTTTGCGATCGGAAAAGCGATCGCAAAATGATGTTTCCTATGGGGTTTTTTCACTTTGCGATTAACGCAAAACGAAGATTTTCGCACAGCTAATCGGCGGTTTCAAAATGGCCGCTGGGTAAAAAAACAGCCGCCTGCTGTTTTCTGGGACGGATTCCTCGCTGCATGGGCAGCGAAAATGGCCGTGCTATGGAGGATCTTTGCTGGACGGTGAGTTTCAAGCCCATAGGAACGCATTAATCGTTTTTTTATGCGTTTCTATGGGCTTTTTAAAATCGCTTTACGATGTTTTCGTTCTACAGCGATTTCGCTGGAACGAATTAACATCGTAATGCGAGGCACCACTGTAATTTTTTTATATTAATTAACAACAAGCAAGCCAGGAAAGCAATATGCAACATTTGAGGCCAGCTGTCTCATGACGAGTTCTAAAACAATTAGAGACAACAATAAAACAAAACTTATCTATTCATTTTAAAATACTGTAAAAGCAGACAGAGACAAGATAGTCTCTAGAGACAGGCTACAGCAGGACTGGAGAATATTTGGCCCTCCAGATATTCCCACAATCCTTTTACTATTGACCAGGCTAGATGGAACTAATAGAAGTAGCATGGCAAACATCTGGAGGGCCAAAGAGTGCCCAATCCTGTCTAAAAGAAAAGAGGGAGAGAGCCAAATGTAGCTCTCAAAGAAGTAAGTATTGGGTCACTGGTGAAAACAAGTCACTGATGCTCACCTGTTTAAATACTCTTACCTAAGGCCAAGAGCAGGTAGCTTAACTTAATGTTCATATGGGTGTTAAGTAGTATCATAACCATAATGCTATGATTGCTGGTCAGCTATTCTTTTGTTAGGGCGGTTGCTTGGTAATGGCCACAGGATGCTTGGTTTTCCTAATGGGAACTACTGGCTGGGAGGTATTTGGAAAGATCTCTTGAATGTTGGCCATATGAGCAGTTGGACAAGATGGAGCAGGAGATGAACAGACTGTGTCAAAGGGAGGAGCTGATGTAAGAGAGAGGGGTGTGCACACGCGCGCATAGCAACAACATTTGATTTTCAGTGATTTTGGAAAACATGGACAGAGGCAGAAAGAAAATGAATGGAGAGTTAAGTTCATGATGTGGGATGAGAAATCTGTTGTAACGAAGAAATCATCTTCATGTACTTGTACACTTGTAAATAAAATTACTCTTAATTGTGTTCTTCAGCAGAACCTCTGGCCTTCCAGTACTTTTTGCCTAAAACTTCCAAGCAAAACAAAAAGCAAGGGATTATGGGCGTTTCTGCTCAGAACATTTGGAGGGTAAAATGTTCTCCATTTTTTTGGTAAAGTTTTTATTATTTATGCTGTTTTACATATGTATATTTTTATTATTTGATGATTGTTAGCCACCTAGAGTGGTCCTGAGTTGGCTAGATAGGCGGGATATAAATAAAATTAAATTAAATAAAATAAAATAAATAAATAAAATATAATGATAATGATGATGATGATGATGATGATGATGATGATAATAATAATGCCCACAGAAGTGGGGACTGTAAAAAATAAACAGGCAGGAAGAGAAAAATGGGAAGGAAGAGAACCAGTTTAGTAGCGCCACATGCAAAATTTGGACTGGGTTCTTATCCACTTTCTCCTGGTACAAGAGATAATTCTGCTCTCAGAGGGATGACATGAGGCAGAGGGTTCCTGAAGATAACACACACCTGCCTTGAAGCTTAGTTCATCTGCCTCTTGACCGGTGTAGTCATACACAGCACGGACCCGCTGTCCTGACACGGATACAGGGGCTGGCTTTGCACTGCAATAAAAAGTGAGAAAGAGAGCAGAATCAGAGCTTGGAAAAGTAACTTTTTTTTTTGGACTACAAGGCCATTTCAGGTGGATCTTTCTAGGGGCTGTAGTAAAAATTGTTATCCCAAACTGTGAAACAGACAAGCACATCCCATGTAGGCTTATTAATTAAGAATATTCCTCCAGCTGATTACTTGTGCTCATTAATTAAGAATACTCTCCTAGATGTAGACTTCATTTTGACCAAACAGATGAATTGAGCTGGGCAGCGAACTTGAAACTACATAACAACATAATGTTCATTTTTGCCCCAATGTGTGTTACTTTATGTTTTCTTATATTGAAACACATTTGCCATTTTGCCTCCCATTTTCCCAGGTTGGAGAGATCCTTCTGGAGCTCTTCACAATCCCTTCTGGTCTTTACCACTCGGAAAAGTCTCGTGTCATCTGCAAACTTGGCCACCTCACTGCTTATCCCTGTCTCCGGGTCATTGATGATGAACAGGTTGAAAAGCACCAGTCCCAAGACAGATCCCTGGGGCTCACCGCTCTTCACCTCTCTCCATTGTGAAAATTGTCCATTGACACCTACGCTCTGTTTCCTTGTTCTCAACCAATTTTCAACCCATAAGAGGACCTGCCCTCTTATCCCCTGACTGTGGAGTTTTCTCAGCAGCCTTTGGTGAGGGACTGCATCAAACGCCTTCTGAAAATCTAAATAGACAATATCCACTGGTTCGCCCACATCCACATTCCTGTTGACCTTTTCAAGGAATTCTAACACGTTTGTGAGGCTAGACTTACCCTTACAGAAGCCATGCTAATTCTCCCTCAGCAAGGCTTGTTCTTCTATGTGTTTTAAGATTTTATCTTGGATGAGGCTTTCCACCATCGTCCCTGGAACAAACGTTAGGCTAACTGGCCTGTAATTTCCCGGGTCCCCCTTCCTTCCCTTTTTAAATACTGTATTGGTGTGACATGTGGTATCCTCCAGTCCTCTGGCACTGTGGCTGTTTTAAGGGACTTGTTGCATATTTTAGTTAAAAGATCAGCAACTTCATTCCTCAGTTCCTTAATAACCCTTGAGTGGATGCCATCTGGGCCTGGTGACTTATTGATCTTCAATTTATCAATTAGATCTAAAACATCTTCTCTTTTAACCTGTATCTAATTTAATTCATTAGTCAGGAGGGGCAGATCAGGCAGGAGAATCTGCCCAAGGTCTTCTGTTGTGAAGACAGATGCGAAGAACTCATTTAATTTCTCTGCAATCTGCAAGTTCTCCTTTCCCTCCCTCACCATCCAGAGGGCCAGCCACTTCTCTGGCAGTTTTCCTGCTTCTAACATATTTAAAGAAGTTTTTATTATCCCCCTTTATATCTAACTACTGTTAGACTCAAAAGATGGACTGGACAGAGAACCGATGCCAAAATAGAAAAAGGAAGAAATGGAAGGCCTTGCCATAAAGAAACAATATGAAACCTACCGTATATAACAATTTTTTTCCAAGGAGATAGCTGTGTTAGGCTGTTGCAACAAGAACAAAGAGCTTGTGGCACCTCATCCCACATAAAATTTGATACATTTTAAAGGTGCAATAAGATTCTTTTGCTGTTTCTCGTAGAACAATAGGTTTCACTTGATCATCATGAAAATTATCTCAAAACTCTTTGTTTAACTGCAAGAATCACACCAGCTTTGTGAGACTCCAGGATAACACCAGCCCCACTCTTAGGCAAAGTGAAGCACCTACTTCAGGTAATAGATTTGAGCTGCTACAAAAGGGCAACACATTGTTACCTGTTTTTTTTATTATTGTTATTGTTGTTGTTTAGTCGTTTAGTCATGTCCGACTCTTCGTGACCCCATGGACCAGAGCACGCCAGGCCCTCCTGTCTTCCACTGCCTCCTGGAGTTGGGACAAATTTATGTTGGTAGCTTTGATGACACTGTCCAACCATCTCGTCCTCTGTCGTCCCCTTCTCCTCTTGCCTTCACACTTTCCCAACATCAGGGTCTTTTCCAGGGAGTCTTCTCTTCTCATGAGATGGCCAAAGTATTGGAGCCTCAGCTTTAGGGTCTGTCCTTCCAGTGAGCACCCAGGGTTGATTTCCTTTAGAATGGAGAGGTTTGTTCTCCTTGCAGTCGAGGGACTCTCAAGAGCCTCCTCCAGCACCACAATTCAAAGGCATCAATTCTTTGGTGGTCTGCTTTCTTTATGGTCCAGCTCTCACTTCCACACATCACTACAGGAAAAACCATAGCTTTGACTATGTGGACTTTTGTTGGCAAGGTGATGTCTCTGCTTTTTAAGATGCTGTCGAGGTTTAAATACATAATTTTATTTAAAATTATTTATTTAATTTAAAAAAAATAAATAATTTCATTATTACAGTACTGTATATTCACTGCCAGGGGTTTTTCTGCCTCATACACCAATGCTGAATCCTATGCACTCTGCCTTGAGCGGGTACAGGGTGTAATTTGCTGTTCTGCCTTGGGCAGCAAGATGTTTCCCCTGATCAGGGGAAACAGCTCTGTAGAGAAAGGCATGGTTTCCATGCATAGCGGATATAATTTACTTTTTGAAAGAGTTATACTTTTTATCAATAGTGGTTCTGGATGTTTTAAGATATACTAGAATATAATATCTTGGAAAGAATTTTATTGAGATCCCATAGGTGTAGATTTTGGGAATAGAAGGAAGATGACTCATTTGTGCAGCAGTATCACAAACAATTTATGACAACAAAACATAATTGGATCATTTTAAGTGAATCACTCCTTCTATAACACAAGAAGGTAGCATTAAATTGGTGCCATTTTGCTTACCGCTGTTAGCAGCAAACATAATTTTAGGGTACTGCAAGATTTTAGGATGGACTGGGACTCAGGAGAACTGGTTTCAAATCTCCACTTGGCCAGGGAAACTCACTGGCAGATGGAATTGGTAAAACCACTCATTAGATGTTTCATTTACCTTGAAAGCCCTATTAGGGCCATTATAAGTAAGATCTGACTTCACAGCACTTAACAAAATTGTTTGAAAAGCTGTTTTTTGTCCGTGAGCACCAGCAAAGACAATAATATCCAAAGGAATTTGGAGGCTAACATTGCTTTTGGGGCTGCCAACAGAAGTTTGAAATGGCTCTGAGAGGGAAAATAATGTTGAAGCTACAATTTTTCTCAGTTCAATCAGTTTACTAGTCTTCACACTCCCGGAAGTGTCACTCTTGTGGTTAAGCAGAGAGCTATGAGTTCCATCTGGTGACATCAGCACAGCATAACAGAAAGAGATACTCATTTAGACACTTCATAAAAGCACAACGAGTCGTCACACATTCTTTCCTGCTGTTCCCAAAACAAACAAGTCATGCTGATTCTCTATGGCAAATAGTTGCGCCTCCTTGCAGCTGATGATATGGCCAGTTGTATGCAAAACCAGAAGATCTTTGCGGGATCAGATCAAAGGATGGTGTTCAGGGAGAGTGGGAGTTGTTTGTGCTTTCATTTGAATAATTACGAATAATTTTTAATGGCGTGATTCACTTTTATGTTCAATTAAAACATGGTTTGGGACAGACAATTCTTCCAGGCAGAAAATATTAGGAATTTAGACGGAGGGATTAATTAAACCAGAGCACCTGCTAGACCCCTCTTTAATATGACACTGCTTAAGTTTTTGGTTAAAAAAGCTCCAGGCAACCAATTTAGTACTGCTACTATCCAGCTCATTGGCACATGGTTCTACTCCTCCCACATTTTAATCTCACAACCTTCTGAGGTAGTTGAGGCACAGACCTGCAAATAGCCCACCCCTCCCAAGTCCCAGTCCAACATTGTAACCACTACGCCATCACACAGCACGGATTCTCCCATTTTCTATGGGAACAAATGTTTTAATGGTTTTCCTTAGGTCTTCTGACAGGCGGCCAGGCAGACAGACAGACACACACACACTTCAAATTGTTGGATTTATAAAGCTCTAAGTCGCCAAGGTCCAAGCTATCTCAAGGACCACATCTCCCTCTAGGAGCCTGCTGGAGAGGCCTTTCTCTCAGACCTGCCACCTTTGCGGGTGTGTTTGGTGGGGACATGGCAGAGGGCCTTCTCTGTCACTGCTCTCAGACTTTGGAACTCCCTCCCACAAGAGACTAGGCTGGACCCACCTTTGCTGTCTTTCCGCAAGCAGATAAAGACGTTTATCGTCAGCCAGGCTTTCCTTTAACAACCGGCTGCTTGAGTGGTGTTTTAAAATAGGTTGTTGTGCCTTACTGCTTTGAATGTGTTTTTGGTGTGGCTTTTGTTTATTATTTTTTTAGTCTTTTAAAAAATATTTATATACTGTACTTCCAATATTGTTTTTAGCTTTCAATACTTTTCTTTGGAGATGTGAGCTGCCTTGGGTCTTAAGAGAGGCAGGGTAGAAATATTTTTAATAAGTAACATTTTAAAAAAATTCTACTGAGGTATTTAAGCTGTGCCTCTATCTGAGCCCAGTTTGTATATCTGCATGTATTGCAAAACACAAATGTTATAAAACTATTTCAGCCTCTAGTGTCCTTTTTCCAAAGGAAATCAAAGTTGCTCTGGAGCTGCAACCATAGATCTACTCAGGAAGTGAAGGTGTAGGGAATAACAGAAATATTTAAAAACTCAACATAACTGATAATAAATTAAACAACGCCTAGCAGTTCTATTATGGATGGCCGGGAAAGGGGAGGGGGAACCTGCCAATGTAGATCTTCTTGCAAACTTATTTTTTCACATATGATACGGGGGGGGGGGCCAACAACCTGTCATAACAATACGTGGCATGGAAGATTAATGATTAAAACCACAGCTCGCTTCACAATGTTTAAAATAGTTAATTAGAAGTACCTATATGGAGCTTTATGAAAAACCACTATATTTTGATTAAACTTTATTTCTTTTATTCCTCTCCTACAGGCAGCAGGAAATCATCATGACTAATCTGTCTTAATATACATGTAGTCTAAACAAA